TGTGCAATACCAAGCAATGAGAAAATCAGGAAATGTTTGACTAATTATTTTCTTTTTCCTTACCATTGAACACTTTTCCTTTGAAACCATTGCTGGTGTGTTAGATTCCAACATGTATTAGACAGCACATTCCTGACTCTTAGTCTTAGGAATCAAAGCCATGGAACAAGAAATGCAAAAGAGAAATTTATGTTCCTCGGCAACCATGTTTCATAATATAGATGGGCAAGACAGAATCTATAGACACCAGAAAAAGAAGTGAATAAAACTGCAGTCAAAAATGATTGACAAATAAAATGAAGGGCTGAGAGATATTTTGCACAGTGAAATAGTTGGACAAACAGTATTTTCATCAATTTATGCTTCAAAGTAAATGCTCAAATTGTTACAGAATAGAGTTTTCTTTGTTGTAGATATTAACTTTAATATATGTATACACAAATATTACTTTTTGATATCTAAGTGTCCTTAAGTGACTATTTGTAGATGTGAAAGGAAAAGAGAGAGACAGAAAAGGCAAAGAGGATATGTATTAATCAGACTGACTTAGTATAAAATGATCACAACAATCTGGCCTTCTAATTTTTATGAATAATAAAGATAACTTGAACTTGTAGTTGAAATTGTCTGGTTTATGCTATCATCTATCTATCTATCTATCTATCTATCTATCTGTCTATCTATCTATCTATCGCCTATCATCTATCTATCTATCTATCTATCTATCATCTATCTAGCCATCTTTCTATCATCTATCTATGTATGTATCTATCTTCTATCTATGTATATATCTTTGTATCTCATCTATCTATCTATCTATCATCTATCTATCTATCTATCTATCATCTATCATCATATATCATCTATCTATCTATCATCTATCTATCTATCATCATCTATCATCTATCTATCATCTATCATCTATCATCAGTCTCTCTATATCTATCTATCATCTATCATATTAAAATGCATTAATCTTTAATTAAAATTCAAAATATTTGTATGCCATGAGAGTCAGTGAGATAGCTCAGTGAGTAAAGGCATATGCACCCAAGCCTGTCAAATGGGTTGATCCCTGAGCCTTACAAGGTAGAATGAGAGAACTGATTCCTGCAGATGAGCATAGTCATATGCCTGTTTACATAGTCAGCAGGAGGCTGAAGCAAGAGGTTCAAGAGTTTGTTGCCAGCTTGAGTGGCTGAGCAAATTTGAAACCATAGAAATAAATAGCACAAGGCTGTAGATACATTGAGAGGTTGGAGAGAAGTATGGTTTTCATTTTCAAACCAGAGAAGGTGAGCTTTAAAACTAAAAACAAATGCGAATCAAAACACAGATGCCGCTCAACCAACTATTTTCTAAAAAGAATTGTGGAAATAGGAAATAATCTGTTTTCATAAAAGTATTCTTGCACACATAACACTAATTATGTCTTTGTTCTGAAATCCAGTGATGGGGTATATGTATATAGTCAAGTTAATTTCACCATACAATAAGAAAGCAAAACAAAAATAGAAATAAAATAGTTTTGAAAATATAGCTGAACTCTGTTTGCTGCTGCAATAAGTGAATTTGTTCTATAGGCTTCTGGTTGTCAAAAGTGGGGATTTAAAAGCAGCTGATCTCTGGATCCCCCCAATGCCATCTGGTTCTTAAATTATAGGGGGTTGTAAAGAAGAATACATGCGTGACTCTGATGCACATGGGGTTTGTGATGAAAGACTTGCTTTAGAAAAGATGTAATGAAACTCGAAACATCACTGATCACGCCCAAAAATCTGTGGCTAAAATAGGCCAATACTGCTAGATGAGGAAAATTGACAGAGATGTGGAAATGATTGAAGAGACAGACAGCCATGATGATTGCTTCCTAAAAACTTAAGAAGTTAACTAGAAATAATGAGACAAATTATGTTTTTAAAAAGTCAGAAGAATTGGTAGAGATAATCTAGAGTTGTAAGGTTGATGCACAACATAAATGGTGCATTTTGTGACCATTTTCATAGGCTTTCATAGGAAATTTTATGTCTGGATTAAATAATGATTTATTTATTTTATTTTAATTGATTTTTAAGAATTTCATACAATATATTTGGTCATACTTAGAGAGCCTTCTTCTATCTGCATCCCTATCATAGCTCCCTGCCAGGTTTCATGTGCTCTGTCATATATATTAAGACCTATCAAGTCAATTTCCTGACCCCAAATGTCCTTGCATGTATGTCTGTTTACTGTACCCTAGTTAACCTATCTACCATCACACCTTTAAAGAAAATCTACCCTCTCTTCCAGTAGCTGTCAGTTTTAGATTTCCTCGTGTAAGGTTGGAACTTTTAATTTTTACTTTTATGCTATATATATATATATATATATATATATATCCTTGAGCTTGCGTGGGCCTTGTGTATGATATTATCATTGCAGGACATTCCTATGAGCAACTTCTCAGCACCTTCACCTAATGAGCCTATATCACACCCTCCCAAGACTCAGGGATCCTTGTGGAATAAGGGGTGGAAAGATTGTAAAAGCCATAAGTGTAGATGACTACAAAGAAACTGTGTTTTCCATTCACAACAGGACAGTTGCACATATGAACTCAAAACAGTTGTGGCAGAATATACAAGTCCTGTGTAATCTCAAACCTGTCAAAATCCCAACATGGGCGGGATTTAACGTTTTTTCCTTAGTTGAGAACCTATTGGCAATTGACAGCTGCTGGAAGTCGGAGACTCCGTTTTCTTTAATGATGTGACTCCAGGTATGTTGACCATGCTCCAAGGGATGGACCTACACCCAAGAATATTTGGGCAAAACAAATTAGACTTAATAAACCTTAAAAAAACGATAGCGATCTGAGCATGGTGGCACATGCCATTAATCCCCTCAGCACTCAGGAGGCAGAGTCAGATGGATCTCTGCGAGATCTGTGAGATCAAGGACAGCCCAGTCTACATAGTGAGTTCCAGTCTAGTGGGGGCTTTATGGAGAACTTGTTTCAAAAACAAAAGAAAACAAAAAAATAAAGGACAAGAAGTGAGGGATAGCGAGGTGGGGGTAGCTATGAGAGGAGAGGGGGAAGAGATCTGAAGATTATCCAAATACCTTGTACGAAACTCTTACAGAATCTATACAAGTACTATTTTTTCTTTATTTTTTATACCCACTTCCCAGATAGCACCCTCCCATAGCCTCCCTCCCCCAACTAGAGCCCATACACTCTGATATCCCTGCTACTGTCTGCTGTGTTGTCGGCAAACACAGCCATTCCCCACTACTTGCCCTTCTGGTGAATCTAGTCAGCCTACCTAGGGGTCTTTGTTTTAGGAGGGTCAGCTTTTCCTCATCTAGCAGTAATCAGTTGTCAATATTCCTTTGGATAAGATTGGGGTCTGCTGTTCATTTTTCCAGTTCTATGCTGGGTTACTATCTGGGAATCCCTTTGGCTACCCTGGCCAACAACTCAAAAGAAGGTGTCACATGTCTGGCATTGTTGATTGTTATGTAGCCTTTAGCTATACATACGGTCTCTTTATTTTTATTTTACGTGTATGAGTGTTGATAGAGATAAGTATAATAGCTATTATTTTGCAGCTTCCAGTGAAAGCCATTCCCCAAACTCCATGTATTTCATGAATGTTTTATAAGTTCCTTAAATATTGTTAAAAGCATGGCTAATAGAATAGGAGTGTTTATGGATATTTTAAGCTATTTAAATATATCACTATATTTATGGAGAAAGGCATATATATGTATGTATATATATATCTTTTAATGAACTATATGAAATATGTTAACTCTAACTTAGGTTGGAAACTTCAAAAAAATCATGAGTTTTTGTATTAAGATAAAACTATGCCATTTACTACATACCAGCAATAAACACATATGCATAAAAAATAAATAAAATATTTTTAAAAAACCAAATAAAACCCACCCCAAATGTATGTGTAGAAAAAAAGACACAGTCACTGTCAGCACTTAGAGTAGTAATTAATGATTCTCAGCATTAGCTACTAGCCACTTAATAAGCTTCAGGTAGGTTGTTCGTGTACAATTGTTGTCCCCACACCTATGGACAATGGACATCACTAATTGATATCAGTGGGTTATGAAAAAGAACAAAAAGAGGATGTGAAATTGTGAAGAGGGAGTGTTGGGGAACACAGGGGAGAGTTGGAGGGAGGGAGTATAATGTAGATATGAGCAAGATGTATAGTATGCATATGTGAATTTTTTAAAAGAATACAATTTTTTTAATTTCATGTGTTAGAAATTTTCTGATGAATTTTCTTTTAGCTACTATGGGATAAATCACTAGTTCTCTAAATGGAGAAGGGGATATCAGAAAACGAATAGTCATGGAAGATATAAAATTATTTTGATGGATTAATATGCAGAATTACCTTGATGCATCTTCAATATATCTCAGGGGAAAAAGTCTAAAATCAAATATTAAGGACAAACCAGCCAGGCATGGTTGTGCATGGCTTTAATATCAACACTCAGGAGACAGAAGTAGATGGATCATGAAGAGCACCCTGGTCTACATATTGAGTTCCAGGTCAGCCAGGGCTACATAGTGAGACCCTACCCTAACAACTACACAAGAAAGAGACTGTAAATGTGATTGCACATGTGAATTATATATTTTTGTACTGCTTTATTTATACATGCGTCAAAAATAAAGAGGTAGTAAAAACACAGGGCTGTTATAATCAGTCATCTCAAATATTTTACAGCATTTGATATTTAATTAACACATATTTTTTGTTTTCTAAACTTAGAAAGGTGAGTAGCATTTTAGGAGTCTGGCATAAACAACTCTGTCCCTTGAGCAAGAAGGAAGAGCTCTTTAAAGTGCCTATTTTGGATAACCTGGGTGACATGGTTCAAAACAAGAAGATGCCAATGATCTTCTTCCTTCAAGACTGGCAGAGGCCATGAGAAATGGCATTTTTATTCCTCTCCTGCAGCAAAATTCATAGTCTCTAGAAACAATGGCAGAAACTAATATCACCTACGTCACTGAGTTCATCCTCAAGGGAATTACAGACAGGCCAGAGCTCCAAGCACCATGTTTTATGCTGTTTTTGATGATCTATTTGGTCACAGTACTGGGCAATATTGGGTTGATTGTTGTAATCAGGATTGATGCTCGACTCCACACCCCTATGTACTTCTTCCTCAGTCATCTGGCCTTTGTTGACCTCTGTTACTCCTCCACTATCACCCCGAAGATGATGATGAACTTTGTGGTGGAGTGCAACACAATCACTTTCTATGCATGTGCAACACAGCTGTGCTGTTTCCTCACCTTTATGATCACCGAGTGTTTCCTTCTGGCCTCCATGGCCTATGATCGTTATGTTGCCATCTGCAGCCCCCTGCATTATTCAACACTGATGTCAAGGAGAATCTGTATTCAATTAGTGGCAGTTCCTTATGTATACAGCTTTCTAGTTGCCCTTTTCCATACCATCATCACCTTTCGCTTGACTTACTGCGGCCCCTGTGTAATTAACCATTTCTACTGTGATGACCTTCCCCTCTTAGCTTTGTCTTGCTCAGACACTCACATAAAGGAAATTCTCATCTTTGCTTTTGCTGGCTTTGATATGATCTGCTCCTCTTCCATTGTCCTCACCTCCTACCTGTTTATCATTGTTGCAATCCTGAGGATCCGCTCTACTCAAGGGCGACACAAGGCCATATCCACCTGTGGCTCCCATATGGTAGCTGTTACTATTTTTTATGGCACTCTGATCTTTATGTATCTGCAGCCTAAATCAAACCACTCCCTGGACACAGACAAAATGGCCTCTGTTTTTTACACAGTGGTGATCCCCATGTTGAACCCCCTCATCTACAGTCTAAGAAACAAAGAGGTGAAAGAATCTTCAAAGAAAACTTTGGATAAAGGTTTTGAAACCTTAAAAATACTAAAATCAAGAAAATAAGGGCATCATATTTTATTAAACACAAACAGGAAAACAAACTGAGGCTTGATTCAGAATTGTTTTCTAGCCAATTGAAAATGTGTTATTTTAACAGACTTGGGCATTTTCTATGATCATACAAGTAGGTCATGAAAAATCAATATGATAGATTCTTCTTTGCCTGTAGGAGTTATGGTACATGCCTGTAATCCCAGCATTTGGGAAGCAGATGTAGGATGATTGTAATTTTGAGGTCAGCCTGGGTAGCACAGTGAGATCTTGAATCCAATCAACAAAGAAACAAAGAAAAAAGAACTTTCCCTGGCCCTTACAGCTTCTTCAGACTACTTAAGACTGTTCAGATGTTCAAATGCAGACACACTCTCCAGTGAACACACAAGTGTTGTTCCACTTTAGAGATACATTTTAGCTTCAACCCAGAATTCTGGATAAGACTATAACTGTTTCTAACACTGTAAACAATATGACTCATTCATTTTCACAACTATTATGTGGGTCAATATTTTGTAAGTATTTAGAAACCTATTCAGTAGTATTAAATATTTTGTAAAGTGTCAGATATATAAATGTCTGTCTCCTAAAATGGTCTTCTGCAAGTTTTGCACTCATTGTGAGGAACAGAGTCCACCTGAGTTTTCTATTACCTGCCTGATACTTAATCAATTAATGGTATTTATTAAAATCAAATAAGCTTCAGAAGTATGTGAGATTTGCTCAAAACTTGCCTAACTACATTAATATGATAATTCTCCATTAAAGTTCAAGTCTCTGTGAATTTTGATTTTGTAACACCGTGGATGTTAAGAATTGAAGCTATTAGATCACAAAGATTACTAGATTGATGTTGGATTTTCAAATATAAGGAATGCTTTCTTTTTGGAGACAGTGTCATGTAGTCCATGTTGGCCTTGAACTCACCATGTAGCTGAGGATGATGATGAACTTCTGATCCTCCTGCCTCCATGCCTCTAGATCTGGGGTTGCAGGCATCCTGGAAATTGAACCCAGAGCTTGATGACTGTGAGGTAAGCCCTCTACTAAGCAGGGTGCATTCCAAGCCAGATTTTTTTAATGTAATGGCAGGAACATGACATATAAGACATTGTAAATCCATTTAGGTGATTATTCAGTTAGAAACATTTCAGATTTTCATGTCATTTATGTGCTTTGTATTTATCCAAATATCTTTGTAAATCATGACTTGAAATAAAAGTTAAGTGCTTTCATATGCTTTTGTTAGTTAGATATTTCAGAAAATAACTAAATTAGTCAGCTATTTTATCCTATTATTTTACATTTCAGAAGACAATTAAAACATTTGCAGCCATCCCATCAGGTAGAGTACAAGGCTATCACCAAGAGGCAATGATTTCCTCTTCTGTTCCTTGTTTGTAAGTGAACCAAATATGGTTTGGCAAAGTGCATTTTGAATTGCAACTTGAAGAATTCCCTGGGTTGTTTCTGTTTCCATCTTCGTTTTTGCTTTTTTTTTTCTTATTTGAGATAAGATCTTTCTTATGTGTCACAGATTAGTCTCACATGAGCTATGTGATGCAGACTGGTTTCAAACTTGTGATCATCCGACCAAGTTTTGGAGTGCTCAGATTCTGACCTCAGCCCTCCTTCCTGACTTCTGCATTTTAAATAGGCCTAACAGAGGAACCAGGCAAATTTATTTACTATACTTTGCCATCTAGATACACATTTTTATGGGAAAATGAGCACAATATTCTCGCACGTCACAAACTTGACAAATAGAATTGTACTAGAAACACATTTTTTAATGAGACCTCAGCCTTCAAAATGTTGATGATTAATTTGAGGAACATTGGTTTTATCTACTTCATTGCACCTTTCACTATTGCAGAATTATTCTCCATACTAAGCCTTGAATACTTGCAGGGTTTAGCCACCATGTGGCTGTTGGGAACCGAGGAATCACACCCCGATCCACTGAAATAGCAGACAGTGCTCTTAACCACGGAACATTTCTCCAGCCCCACATTTTTTTCTTGACACATGTGCTAAAAGACTCAAATGTACTCAATAGTCATGTTACTAAGCTAGTTCAGGAGCAGGGGAACAGGGTCACTCAAATATGTGCAGTCCCTACATTGTCTCTATAATTTTTACTTAAGTGATGAAGATTAACTTTTGCATATGGTTCGTCAGCCAAATCATTAAAATCAATATCATTCATTTCATGCCCAAATATATATTTAAATAAATACCTATATTTTCATCCCTCTGTCTATGACATTTGTGATTATCTTATAAGGATATAAAATATTTATTTATTTATTTATGTTATCATTGGTATTGAGTGTGTGTGTGTGTGTGTATGTGTGTGTGTGTGTGTGTGTGTGTGTGTGTGGACAGGTACAAACGTACCATGGAAAATGTGTGGCAGTCAGAGGACAACTTTTCATAGTCAGATCTCATGGGCATAAAATATGAAGATAAAGAATGAACCTAGAATGTATAATGTTATGCTAGGTAGCTCAATCTCAGAAAGAAAAACCTGCATTTTCTCCCTCATATGCAGATCCTACCTTGTAATGAGTACCTGTACATATGAAAAGAAATGCCCAAATGAGTATAACATTTACTAAGGAGAACAAGAAAGGTGTAAAAATTTTAAAAGGTGTAAAAATTAGTTCATATATGTAGTATGTTTCCTGTAAGCCCTTAAATGAAGTCCCAAGACATTACACATTTTCAATGCAAAATATGTCTCTAAGTGAGCAGTGGTCATTTGTGATTCCACAAAGGATTGTTACCTTACTTGACATTTGAATTTTAAATTACATTTTGTTATTGTTTAAATATTTCTGTATCCTATAGTTTGTCAAATGTTAATAAGCATAGTGTATTTTATTCTTTAAAAAGAGAAAAGAAAAGCAATTAATATGTGAAATTTTAGCAGAGTTAAGATGTACAAAAATATACTTCAGTTCAGAAAGAATTGGACCTGGATTTGAGGTTTGCTACTCATAAATTTGTGCTATACAAAGTTCCAATCAGTTAAAAAATAACCAGAGGCCTAGATTTCACAGGCTGGGATATATGCATATAAACAGTGAGTGAATAGGTTGATACGGTGTATGATGCCTAAGAGAGACTTGGAAAATACTAATCAATTGCCATGAGAACACCTGCAGTATCCCGGGGACATTTTCATGTAGCCAAACCGTATTTGGTTGATTTTTGTTTTTATATATTCAAATAATGAATGATCTAACTTGAATAGAATTCAAAGCAGATTTTATTTCACGTTTCTGTCAAAACAATGTACTTTAAATTATAGTTTTCTATGTGTCAACTACCTTTCTTCTTAGTTTCTGGAGTTCACCGTAGTGTCCTGAGACTCACAGAGGTCTTCCTATACGATGCTATTAAATATTACATTTGAATATAGTGGAAAGTATATAAAAAATTTCCTGCAGAAGCAGGCATAATAATAGCAATACTAATACATATTTGTCATGCACTGATGCTTTGCAACAGCTTGGTCTTACTTTAAATACTGAGCATTCATAAACTCATTGCTTTAATTTCTCTACAACCCATAATAAGCATATTGATTATTTACAAATATATAGTATGAAAGGTGAAACCCAAAGATTTAAATA